GTATTAACCTAATGTCACTAATTGTTAAGACAAATAGACAAGCATGAATAAATACAGAAAACTACTTCTATACGTTAGCATAAATGCAAGAAAGGTCCACAGGTGGTCTTCAAAACTTTTCTTTATGACAAATACCAAAATATTATCCAGATAAATGAAATATCTCCTATTTCAGCTTGCTCAGCTAGATTCAATGCAAGATTTCATAAGAAAGTCCAAATACTGATAAAAATTCATATAAGCCATCTATAGTGCTGAAAACAGTTATGTCTCTCTTCATTGTACATTTTAACTTAATTGTTAATATCTGGAAGCCAGATCATATTAGTTGAACCACCAGTAGGTCCCTCTACCACATTCAAATGAAGAGAATTTGTAGAAAATGTTATAACACAGTTTGGTTCTGAATTCTAGCCCAAATGAATTTAAAGAAGGAAAGATTGTAGAGAGTGAAGTTTCACAATGAAATAAAATATTTTATTGAATAACAAAAGCCAATGTATAGAAATGAGACAAGTTTTTGATAATGCTACTCTGAGCTGAATTAATCACATCAATAGACTAAAACTTTGAGATATCAATGCCAATTATGAAAAGCTCAATGGTACTGTGTGACTGAATCAAGAATAAGGACAACACAGTTCAAAGGTAGTTTTATGGATACAAAAACATGTACAGTAACACATGAATGCAATAAAAATTTTGTGAACAAGTAAATATTCTTATGCTATAACTGATTACTTCTTTATTTGTAAACTTTATTGCTTAAATCATATACTTTAAAATACTCAACCAATTAATGACTTGACAAATTTGGCAAGCTTTCAAAAAAATTACTATTCTTTTGTAGACAAAAAAAAAAACAAAATTTTTAATTAACCATTTTTGCTAAAAATTTGTCAGTGTATATATGGAATCAAGAGTGTTGACTGCTCCTTGTGCAAAGTGATTTTCATATTAAGATTAAAAACACTTTTCTTTATATGAAAATTTAATTTCATTGTGTAATCTCAAAAACATCCTAACTAAATATCAAACTTTTTTTCTCTACCTTAACTCTATACTCATTCTATTAATTTGACCTACTTAACCACCATAAAAAATTAGGAAATAAATCTATATTACCCTTATGTCTTTGTAGAACAACTGCACATTGTTTATCCTAAATGGTTTAAAGCTCATGACAGTATAAATCTATTTAAACTTTAATTTATTGTTCTTTGAACCATGTCTAACTAATAATCCCACCATGTTGTAAATCCCTCAGCAAATGTGCAGCTCATGTTATCATATCAAATCACATAACGCACGAGCTGCTTGTGAACATTTTTTAAGAATTTTAAGAATTTTTATTATTATTTTTTTACCATTATCTTACCTATTCTAACCTTACAAATTTCTATTTTTTATATCTTAGTTACTATAAAACAATAAATAATACACAAAAAAAAATACAGTACTCACCTGGGTCTTTTTTTTTTTGTCTGACAACTGTCAATGCAACGAAGCCTACTTTTTTTTTTAATATAATAATGGTATTATTACTATTACACTAAATGTTTTTATGTAATTAAATACTGCAAAAAGGAAACAATGTCATAACTATAATAACTTTTTGGACTTTCTAACTATGTGATAAGAGCCTTTAAAAATTCAGCTAAACTGCTGTGAGAATAAATTTGAAATTCAATGATAAAATAGACAATGTCCTGTACAAATAATACATCACATGTATAATACAATACATCATTTAATAGACTAAAACTTTGATTTTCTATTAGTTATAAAGAATATAGTATAAAGCATCAGAATGAACTATAGGCAATTTGTAAAAGACAGGTAAGCATGGCAAGTAGGTCCGATTTTCTAGTTTATGGCCCCCATAAACAAATAACATTGAAGGATATAAAATTATGCTTTGCCTAAGTGATAACTATATTATAATGAGTAATGTACATTAAATTCCATACTTTTCAGAAGGGTGGTAAACAAATAAAAAGAAAAGGGATGACCTAGAGAGCAAATTCTCTTGCTAAAAAAGATTGAGGATTTTATAAAAATATTTCCTTATATAACTAAAAACTTAAAACTTGTATAATATTAAAATTTGATTTATTAACTACATTTTTATGCCAAGTTTATTTATATACATTGATAATAAAGTTGTTTAGTTAAATTTTGAATGTAACTATAAATGGTTGTGACATATGCACTTTGACCCACCCATTGGGAAATGAATATCAAATTATGTACCTTATGTAACTAGCAGATAACTGGAGAATCTATAATAAGAAGCAAGAATTTAATCATTACTTTAATATTTTACATTTAAAAGAAGATAAACTATTTTTTATAGTTAAGAGAGGAATTTTACAGATATTGCCTAGTTAAAAAATGTGTTATCAAATGAGTTAGTACATCTGCAAGATAAAGTTCATAATGACAAAAAGTACAGTTGAAAACTTTGAAAAAGTTATTAAAATATTAGATGTACTTTAATAAACCAAAAAGTTAATACTGTTTACTACTTTGAAAAGTTGTTTTTATAAAATTAATTTCATATTAAATTTTAGTACAGAAGAAATGATGTGTGTTTATTACATTTTTACGAAAATGTGTTGAAAAAATATTACTTTTAAAAATAAATATACAATTTAAATTTTACAAGTACTTTTTAAAAGTATTTTATTTTGAAATATTTCCAGTAATAATCTGAAACTAACAAAATTATTAGTTAATACTACAACACATCCACTTTTATCTTTACATTTTGTAAAGGTCATCTTGTATACTTAAGTCTGCTGCTGATCTTATTCAAACACTGGTTTTTGTGTTGAAATATTTAGGTTTCTGGTCAAGTTTATTTAAAAAAATGTCAAAACAAGTATAATTTGACAAATGATTTTGTATCAAGATCACTATCATTTTTGGCATTGGTTTTGGAGTCCTTAAATGATGCAACAAAAATAAAAGTGAGTAGATATGGAGAACAAAGGCATATGTAGGACTCGAAATAACCCTAGATAGGAGTTTCAAAAATAATCAACAAAACATTAAAATAAACAGATGACACATTGATTTTAATTGTAATACAAGAAACAAACTTCACAGTAAACATACAAAATTCTAAAACACAAGTAATCACACAGAAATTTCATCTTTCAATGACAGGCTTCATAGAAAATGTTGCATACAAAACACTGAGTCAGAAAGCACAATGAAATGTTACAATCATGTGATCATCATTATCTCCAACAGTGAACTGAATTCTACAATGGTTTTGTGATTATGTGAAGTTTTAGTTTTTATGGTATTTAACAGTTCTCAAAACTCTTGAATGTACTATTTTCTCAGATTCAAGCCTATGACTAAAGGTAAAAATGTTTACTATGTATATATTTTTCTTACATTACTGTGGAGCTTGTTTGTTTACTTTAGAAGTTTTCCACAAATCTATCTAAAGTTAAGTTTAAAGATTAAAAAAATTTCTCAATGTTACATTAGTACTAATAATGGTTGGAGACGGTTTGAATAGGTAATGAAGAAAAACTTTAATATAAGCTTAACATAACAGCAAATGTACAACGTTTCGACAAGGTTTTGTCATCATCAGGAACGTCTCCAACCATTATTAGTCTCAAAGTGGTTTCCTCGTCTTCGAAGTTTCATTAGTACGTAAGCCTATTTTTCCTTTAAAACAATTAATAAAAAAGTTCTATACAAATTTAAAAAAAATTACTGTTAAATTTTAGTATATTTTCTTTTTATATAAACATAATAAAAATATAACTTAAGACTTAATTTTTTACTTGATAGTCTGTTTTTATTCATTGACATTAGCTACGATCAAACATGTATAACAGAAGGATGAGTCTCTTTCTTAGTTGGTCCAATTTGCAGTAATTCTTCATTTTTAAATTTGAGTTGCAAAAATTAAACATACTACAATGACAAATATCATTTATATAGAAAATGATATAATAAAACTAACCTTTCACCTAAATAACTAATATCTGAATTATGACTGACTGACTTCAAAAACAACACTTCAACAAGTTTAGAAATAACTCACCACTTTTTGATTAAATTCCTCTTTCTTTTTTTGTCCAGCCCAACTTCTGTAAATGGAAATATTATTATTTAAATGTATAATTAATGGAGTATACTGGTTAAACATATTCCACTTCAGCAAAGCTTTCATGATGCAACAATTGCTTAATTTATTATATTCAACTTTGTTTTAACTATTTTTACCTCCATTTTATAATCAAAACTTTATCCATGCCCACATGTTCTAAAACACTAAATGTATATACATTTGCAGCAAGTAAAGACTAAGCTTATGATAAAAAAAAAGTAATAGTCATCCAATTTTTTCAGATCTATTAAAATTAAGATGTCAGTACTTATTAGGACAAATATATTTCATATTTTAATTTTATAAATCCAGACGCTTTCCTTATTCTAAAGTAACATTTAAACTACCTTTTTATCCTATTATAATTGAATTACACAATTCCAAGATTGCTGGGTAGTATTTTGTGGTCTATATGAAAAAAACAAAGATTAATATGCCTTCAAACTACTCATATGTGCAGGAAACCAATGGAGTTGGGGTGGGAGATGATGCTGAAACTTAATAGAATGTCACTGAAGTTTCTCAAACAGAAATCACTTAAAAGCAAATTATCTAGTGGATTAGTTAACAAAATAATATATTTTTATAAAAGGAAATTAATCTTCATAATGGTATTCAATTAAACAAATCAGTCAAACATGGGAATGTACCATATCTAACTTTTTCTAAGCTACCTCAAAGTTTATAAAAGTTAACAAAACTCGAGCTATTTGGGGTCATACTAGAATTCATGATTCCATTTCCAAGCCTACTTTTACACACCCTGGGTTATGCCCACAACAAAAATATATTTGTTTAGCTAATGACTCAACAATCTTAGACTACATTTTATTCTTAAACTTTTATTTGGAGTTTTTTCATTAAAAATGTCAAACATTCACATTTTGGACATGACGAATGGCAACCAAAGCACAAGGTCAGACCCTTAAGGTAGAGGGCTACATCTGAAAACCCCCTAATTTTCACATAGTCAATTCTATGTTGGGTATTCAAAGGTAGAATCACCAAGAAACCTCTTTAATTTGGCCCAGGAAGGAGGAAGAACTTCTAATGTGGTCTATCAATAAGCACTCAAAGTATCAATAAATACAGAAGTCGTAGAAAGGGATTAGTAAAAGTAATAAAGTAAAGTAATGTGGAATAAAGTAGGTGTGAAATAAATTATGCATATAAATACAAATTCTTGATTTATTAGTTCAAGTTTTAAGTTCAAGCCTCCAAACATAGGACAGGTGCCTCAGCTTGTTATATTCTTAACATTGAATAAAATCTTTGGAGCAAATTGCTTTTGAATCACCCTGTGTGTTTGTCTGTGTATGGTTAAAGATCTATACACAAACACACTTTCAATAACACACAAACACACACACACACACACACACATGCATTTATACAGATAAAAATGTATGTGCAGAAATAGCTAACGCTGTAGTTTTATGGATTTATTCAATGTCATTTCTTTGAAACACCTGTCTATACAGTCCTATATTGTCATACACAAACATTAACTAGATGAATAAATGCATTTATAATCTGACAATTTTTATTCCCAAAGTAAAAATAGAAAGATATACAGGAAGTTTACAAGTCTTATTAAAACATATAAAGACTATATAGTTCCTAGAAAATGAAAATAAATAATGAATGACAAGAGAAAGGAATGACAAAACAGAGAAAAAAAGGACAAATTAAATGAATGATTGCAACAAAATAAGAGGAGGACAGAGGAGGAAGTGAAAAGAAGAGAGTGAAATGGCACAGTTTATAAAAATTTTATTTCTCTACAAGTATAATTACGAAGTGTAATAAGTACTAACTCTCAAACCATATAGTTAAAAGAAGTTTTAATCATACAATAATATATTAATAAACCTAGCAGGATATAGTTATAATAAGATACTGTTAAAATCTGAAGTCAGTATGTTGTTACTACTATTTCATCTATTATTTCAGCTTCACTGAAAATTTTAAGGAAACTAGCGTTTAGATGACAGTTTTATAACACCACAAACAGTTTTAAATGCAGCTGCATATAATGTAGTAACTGTACCACATGTTCAAAATACACAATGCAAAATATTTTAATACTTTTTTAGGTACAGTAGAGTTGATGTTTTACCTTTGTGGTTGTGCTCCAGCATTCTTCACTCGAGGCTCCAAAGTATAACTTACTGGGCTGAAAGATTCCTGTTCACTGCAATCTTTGCTTGATAAAGAACTAGTCGACCGAGTGCCTCCTTTGAACCCAGTAATAGCAGAAGACCCCTGACGGTTATGGGTATTGTAGTGGGAGTAAAAGCTATGCATATGACTATCAGGCTGTTTAGGAAATGTAAAAAATTCTTGAATGTCCATGCCAAATCCATAAGGATTGTGAGAAGTCAAAGTGTATGGAACGTAAGTGAAACCAGTTCTCAGAAGAGATGCTGAAGCTGGCTGAGGTTGTTGCATAAAGGAAATGTCTCTCTGATCAAAAAACCTAGACCGTGGCTCTGGACTATAGGAGTACTGACCACGATTATAGGATTTCGAAGCCCTAAAAAGAATAGAAGTAATATTTTCGAAAAATTATAAAAAAATGCAGTACCTTACTGCATACCATATAATTCATTCCTACAAATGATATCAATTCATTAACTCTAGAATTACCAATGTGATATATTTTTATTCTATACAGGGATGTAGAGAAAGAGTTATTAGGGAAAAGTTACGTCAATCTAAAAGTTACCATAGTGAACATTATTCCAGCTAATAAGTGTTTTCAACAGCAACTTTAAATACTCAACTCTTCTACAAAGATAGTTGTTTCATTACTGCTAACAGCATGAATGCTTGTGTACTTGCACTACTCTCTAGCATTTCATTAACCAGTAAAAATTCCTTTCCAAAGATACTACATTAGAAACATCTATTGAAACTACATCTTGCAAGAAGTCTGATATATATTTTGCAGGATATTGAAATCTTAGACAGTTCATAATGTCTAAGGACACATTTGATTTTAACTAATTTCTTAGCAGAGGACATGCAGCATCTGAGTATTATCTGGGTATGAAATGAGTAAGACAAAGGTCAGGTCATGCAAGTTTTACACAAAATGAATTTTTAATTAACCAAAAGGCCTAAAGCTACTGAAACTGGGATAGATCCAAGCAGTACAATGAAACCAATCAAATAAATCAGCCATCAAATAAAAGTAACAGATGGTTTTTAGGTTTATTTTGGGAATACTGTCTGTGGGAAATTACTTTATCATCTTACCACAGCAATGCTGTTTAATTGCTCAAACTGTGGTTCATGATATAGTACATTTTAAGTCTTAAAAATAATTTGTTGCAAAGAAAATAAAAAAAATGTAGTTAGGAAAAGGTTTATTTATATTTTTTTCCACTTTTCCCTCTGTTAACCCTTTCTCACTGGGTAGGTCAAAGTACACGTCACAACCATTCACAGAGTTGCATTCAAAATTTAATTAAACTACTTTATTATCAATATATATGAATAAAATTGTGATCAAAACGCAGTTAATAAGTAATTTTTATATTATTTAAGGTTTAAGTTCTTAATTTTAAAATGCAATATTGACAGAAATTATGAACTTCCCCTAGTATGAGAAATGTGACATTTTATCTAGGTATCTCCTATTCTCTAATTTACTTACCACTCCTCCAAGAAGTATGAAATTTAATGTAAATTACTTATTATAATGTTGTCATTGCTCAGACAAAGCATAATTTTTATAACCTAAAATCTTATTTGGTTACAGAGCCATCAAATATAAAATCAGACCCCTCTTGATACACCCATCTGTCACATCCTCTCTTTCAGGATTTGTCAATAATTATCTTATGTTTAATACTATATTATTCATAGTCAATAAAAAGACAAGTTTTTCATCTATCAGATAATGCATTATATTATGTTGTTTTCTGTACAGAAAAATGTTAAGTTCTCTTTCAGTACAAGCATCATTCTCATGGAAAACACAATGACTAGCTTGGATGAATTTGTAATATCTCTTGACGCATTGTTAGAAAGCCAAAAAAATTGGGATAGCTATGGGATATTCTTTTTGCATGTTATCATTGTGTTCTTTGGAGCATTATTGAATTAAATAAAAAATTATTTATTGCAGTAATACCAGGTTAGATTAGGTAAAATAAAGAATAATAAAATGTTTTCACCGGGCAGCAAAAGCTGCATGTTTGCTAAGTAATTTCAAATTTTAAGGCAGGAATATCAGTTTAGACATGCTTCAAAGAGCAATAAAACGATAAAATTTAAGTATAAACAGATGTATACTGTTATGATACTTAATTTCCATGTTACAACTTGAAGTCATTCTAGAAAGAAAAAGAAAGGGGTAATTTAGATTTATTTACATTTTTTATTGGGTGGTTACGAGTTCAAACATATTAGAGTAGAGAAGATAACAGATAAAATATAAAGCTTTTCTGGAAAAAAGATTTATTTAAGAGATTATGCAAACGAAGTTTGAAAATTTTCATATGAAGAAAAGTATTCTTAAACTTAATATGAAAATCACTTTGCACTCAGAGCAGTGAATACTGACACCATATAATTAAACAGATAGTTTTAGTAAAAATACACAATAAAAAAATTCTGATTATTTCTTTACCAAAGACTTTTAAAGTTTACTGAAAGCTTGCCAAATTTCATGAAGATAAAAAGGAACTTTCAGAGTTGTAGTATGTATACCACCATGGTTACATGGTGGTTATGATGTGCTGCAAAATACATGTGGTGAAAGAGTTAAAATGTGCATACAAGTTTGGTTTGCTCTGCAACAAATACTCCATATAGTGATTGCCAGGATTTTTTTTATATCACTATCAGTATTTTTGGTGAAATATTGTATATTCTTGAATGTATTAAGAAAAAAGTAAGTCTTTCTAATAACAAAAGATGTATTCAGTTAACTGATACCTGATGCAGGCCTATGGTCAAAACTAGTAATGATTAAAATTCTTTATGAGAGGCTTTTTAACAGTAATGAATTGTACTAACTTTAAAAAAGTTGTTTCAAAATGCCTAAGTCCATAAGAGCATATAAACTGTAAATGAATTTCTTCCTTACAGGTACCAATTTAATTAAATTCTAGCCTTCCTATTTCATTGAGAACATCACTGGCTGAACACAAATGCATAGAAAACAACAGAAAATGACTGTCCATCTAGTCAACACACACTTAACCCTTTCCACACAGGTCATGGGTCAAAGGCCATGTCATCATGTTTGTTGACTCGCATTCAAAATTTTATTGAACTATTATTTTATGAATTTATGTCTATAAGTTCGGTATCAAACTGTAGATTATAATTCAAATTTTAGTATTATACATTATTTAATTTCTTAACTTAAAAGTAAATAATAAAAACACACCTAAACAAATTTTTTGTGTCACATGGTTTATTAAATGCAGCACTGGTTCAAAGTAGATGTATGTGATGTCAAAATACCGAGTCTATAGTTTCGTACAAATTAGGAACTCAAAATTACCAACATTGACAAGCTAGAATATTAAATGAGAGCCTCTTATCTTTTCAATTTGCTGAGATACTGCTCATATACTGAATCAAACAGTGGTCCCACTAACCTCTTTCCATTTTTGGAAACACTCACTTATATACACTTACTTCTATCTATGACGTACCCATAACTAATCGAAAGCTCAGAATGTCCCCCTAGTGGCTTTCTCAGCCATTTTCAAGTATTACGACATCTCATTCTTTTGATGCAAAACTTCAAGGTGGTAAGTTGAGTCTTTAATCTGCTCGAAATTTCATATTTTTTTAGACCCAAATACAGCTTAAACTAGGCTTGATAAATTATAATAGAATTCTATGGTATTGATATAGTAATTTACGATTTCTCGTTGTTTCAAATGTAGATACAAAACCAAAAAAAATTATTTCATTTGACATCCTCCAAACGCAAAATTTTATAAGGCTTAGCAACCAACGACAAGCAGCAAATGAGTTCAAAGGTCATAACTAAAAGAGAACTGTTTGCTTTACTTCTTTATTTACTGTTCTATGTTTTAAGAAAAATAAGTTTAAGAACATTTTTTAAATAGTAATAATATATATACATATATTACTTATAACTGAAATATGACTAAAACACAGCCAAGACAAGTCACTTTGTAAAGACTAAAGGTCAGTTTTATATTATTGGATACGGTAACATGAGTGCACGTGTGCCACATTATTGTAACTTCTATACTGTTAGCCAGTCACAATCTAGAACAAAAAAAGGTAAAATGTATATTTATTTCCTAATTTTTTTATGGTGGTTACAAGATCAGTCAAATCAACTGAATCTGCAGAGATTCTTCAGTGAAAATAACAAATAAAATATTAAATTAAAAAAAAAAAATTTAACAACTATCTGGATCTTATAAAGCTTTTGCATGAGAAATTTGAAAATTTTCTGATGCATAGAAGTATTTTTAATCTTAAAATGAAAATTACTTTGCATGTTGGATGGGCAACATGCGAAAAGAAAAATGACATAAGAAAAACAATGCTTAACAAACCTTAAGACTTAATAAAAATAATCTGATTTGGCATATGAAAGCCTTGGAATGTTTACTGATAATCTGCCAAATTTCATGAATATGCACTTACTAATTTAAAAGTTATAGCATGAAAATTAAAACAAGCACAAAATGGTTATGAGATCAGTCCCAGGGACCAAGCCCGTGCTGAGAGAGTTAAAGATAATCTAGTTTGAAGTTACAACTTGAGCTTCTTAGCCCTATGTACATAGGTCATGACCTTCTACAGAGTGCCATTCAACATGGTATTATATATTTGATGTTAGAGTTTTAAATTACTTATTTTACCCCATACTGCTGATTTAGCAACAGTTTGTGGTAAAGGAGAGTAAACATCACATACAATATTAAGGAATACTAAGAAAAACTTGATATGTATTTAGGAAATTCTACAGGTTATGCAAGTGCAATTTGGAAACTATGCAATAAACAAAAGTATTTTAATCCTTGACATGAGAATTGCCTTCCACTCCAAATTGTCAGAGTTTGATTCAGAGTGACGTTATCAATCCACAGATATCTTGAGTACAAATACTTTTGTAGAACATCTGATTTTTTGGTCTACAACAGACTTGTACACTTTACTAAAAGCTATCCAACATTGTGTAGTTAAACATAGTCAATTTGGAGTTCTATTCAACATTCTTTGTACAATATGAGGTTGGTTCAATGAACTAACATTTTGCACATTCAGTTAACATGAGTATTTATAAAAAAAAATTTAAGCTCACATATTTTCCAATAATCCTGCTTTAGCATTTGTTTTATAATACAATCATATCCACTCCAATAATAGAAATAAATAAATTATACATTTTTATCACAAGCCATGCAGTATATCATGTGATTTTGTTTGTTTGCAATTAAGCACAAAGTTACACAATGGTCTATCAATGCTCTGCCTACAATGGGTATCAAAACCCGGTTTCTAGCGTTGTACGTCCACAAAATTACTGCTATGTCATTGGGGGGGGGGCATGTCAGGTGATACAAACAGCAATAGAGAAGAACAAGAAAATGACTTATGCATAAAATTATTATAGAAATTCAAACAAATTTGGAACAACTTTTGAATCTTATCACAATGACAGAGAAGCAACAAAATAAACATAATACCCTTGTTATTCTCAGGTGCACTAATATCCTGTGGTTGTCTAATAATGTTAGGAATGTATATTTAAAATAAAACAAACAAAATAAAACTTAAAATATGTCTGAATGAAAAAACAAAAGTAGAAAAATATGACAATCAAAACTTCAAAATGCAGTACAAGATTCTTTCTTCAAATACATCACGCATGTAGAAAAAAGTAAGACATGACAATTGTTCAACTGTTAAAAATGCACTTAACAATGTCCCGGTTCAAAAACAAAGACACCAAACATTCCCTACTGAATAGACCATATATACTTAACATACTGCATATATTACCAACAAGCCGAAAGGCAAACACCACCATTTTGGATGTAGCAGAGGGAAAATCTTGTAATCACAATGTAGTTGCTGGTGTTGGAATTTGGGATCAAGTATTTGAAATGGCAATCAGCTGTGCAGCAGCTAGCTGTACAAACAACCAGACAAAGAATTGAAAGTTATCATTTTAAACATTTTTCAAAAAATCCAGTATGTAGAGTTAAATTGGCTAGGGCAGTAAAACGTGCAGACCCAAACAACATTGACAAGGCTTGGAAACCATTGTTTTACCACAGACTATGCAGTTCCCATTTAATATCTGGTAAGTACTACTTGTATATACTTGTTACAATTGCAGATCTTGATAAAATCTGTAGTTTGTAAATATTTGGTGCTTCCCATAATTTATATACTATGATACAGGCCCTTACAAGCAGTGATAGGTGGAAGGGCCCAGTGAGTGATAATAGTTTTATTAAAAACGTGGCTTGTCAAGACAGGTGGTCTTAAAATCCAGGGCTTATTTGTGTAAAATATATGGTAATGTGTAATGAAGAAAGTGGTTTGAAAAGACAGGATGACTTAAAATGCAATACAACACAGTATATCTAGATTGTAAATTTACCACTGATAGAATATAAACAATAAGCCTAATCACTAAAAACAACTTCGACTTACCCTCAAGTAATCTATGTAGTTTGACATCTTGTACACTTTCCACAGTCTGACATCATGCACCCAGCAGGCCACAAAATACTTTT